AGCAGGAAGGTAAGATGATGCAGATTTCTTTGGACTTCACTGTGGTGAGATTTTTCAGGGCATAGTGGAAAACTCTGCACAAGAATCAGTCTGGGAGCAGGGAGAGGAGCTGCCTTGGGTAGCTGTTAGGGAACAGCATGTGTGCCCTTTCCAGGCACGAGCAGGCCTTAAAACTCTGCTTCTTCTGCCGTGCCAAAAGCTACTCTGGGCCTTCCCAGCCCTCAGGGGCATCCTCACTGTCATCCTGAGGTACAAGTGCAGGTGTCTGGTCTGCAGAAGGGACACTGACTGACTCCTTGGTGGTTAGCCAGGCAAGGGTCAGGTGTTCCATGCAATCAGTTTGTTCTGCAGCCCCTCGTTCTGCAAGAGGTTCATGCTGTGCATGGACTTGGTACACAAATTGTCCTTGGGCTGTGTCTCAAACTACTCCTTAGGGCAAAATTGTGTTAGAACTATACTTCAGAGTTAAATCAGCATTCACAAGTCTTAGATACATTTTCTGGGACATAACCTAAAATTATTTTTCCTCCTCACTTTGATAAATGAACAGGATGAGAAGTCCCAGAGCCCATAAAGTGGCCTGTGCCATTTCTTCTTGGTGGGTGAGAGGAGTTAGCCAGCACAGGTTTATTCCAGCTCAGGGTTTGCCCCATCCCTGGAAGTGCTCAAGGCCAGGTTGGACAGGGTTTGGAACAACCTGGGCTAGTGGAAGGTGTCCCTGCCCATGGCAGGAGGTGGAACCAGATGATCTCTAAGGTCCTTCCAACCCAAACCATCCTGTGATGATCATTACACTACTGTCACTTTTTAGTTTAGCTTTTCACTAGCTGAGATTTCTCTTTCTCACACTTCTCTACAAGGCAGGGTAATACTTTGTTTCATTTCTACCAACAGTTTTTGTTTAATATCCCACACACACTTGAAAAGATGGGGTAAAATTAAAGTTTTGGGGTTTGGCACTGAAACAGATAAAGCTAAAGACAACTGTTCCCCATCTACAGCCAAAGGAAGGGGCACAAAAGGAGTATGGAAAGGTTTGTGTTCTGTCTGGGTGTGTTCTCTGCTTTCAGATCAGACATCAGTACCTCCAGGTTTTACCTAATACTGTAGAGGTCACTTGCTCCAGGTGACTCCAAGGAACTGCAGCCATGTCTGTATTAGTAACTTCCAGTAAAGGTGCTATGCAATGGCTTTAAAAAAGCAAATTCAAACCCACACGATGCCAAGCTTGTGATCCTCAGTTTAAATACGTGCCTGACTTGATCTCTTTCAGATTTCAGACCCAACAGGCAAATGTGTTACACTGGAAAATTAACATAAGCCACGGGAAAAGTTGCATTGCAAGTCATGGTTTTATTAATTCCTAGTGCAACACTTTGAAATGCCTCTCAGATGACCATTCACAGTCACTCAAAAGTTTGTTTCACAATGCAATAATGCAGAAACATCATAAAAGGAAGAATGTATATTGTAATTTTTATAAGTTATATATTGGTGAAAATTCAGTGTCTTAAAGAACTGAGTCACATGGTGTTTTATAATGCAGAAATAGCTTTAATTTAATGCATGTTTTTTATTTATGGTTGATTGTCTTCAATAGAGAGAGATTGGGAATGTGCTGATAGTAATTTTTTTATGGACATAAAACTGATTGTGATACTTTATTTTGTCATATCTGTGAAGCACCTGGAAATAAAGGGTGATAAGACACCTTTTAAAAACAAAGTTTAACTTTTGTGTGTTGTGTCATCCCTAAGGCATGTCAATTCCTTTCCTCTGAGGGACGTTTTGTTTGGTAAACATGACTAAGTCACACCTCTTTTCGCTTACGCTGAGGGGAAAACTGACACATTACTGGAAGGAATCACTGAAGTGAAGGACAGATTCCTGTTCAGTGCCTTAAATTCTGAGAAGTGCTTCCACTTTTGTTTCTTGGTAACTTCTCCTAAGGAATGTTGCAGCTCAGGGCTTGGAACAGCAAATGTTTTATCCGTGCTGGAGGAATGACACACACTGTTAGGGAACAAGGCAGAGGGCAAATGTGTTTATCTCACTGTGGCTGCAAGATAATCTTCCAGGTACAGTGAGCTGCCAATCCAAGGGTCATACAGACAAACATCCATGGTGTAACCTACAGTGAAAACTACTCAGAAATGGTGTGAATAAGCACTGTGGGAATTTAGTGGCAAAGTATCATTATGATCCCTGAATAACTTAGGAAATACTGTAAAGGTATTTGCATCAGTGTAGGGTTTGTAGGGAGAGTTTGGAGTATTCCTGAATCACACTGAAATGCAGGAAATGTGCTTTAAATCCAAAGAGAAAGTGAGCAAAGCCTGTACTTGTTACAAAGGGGTGTTGGAATGCAGTAGATGGTGTGTGGTTTGTACTTTACCTTTCAGGGTCTCCAAGAGGCAAAGCTGAGCTATGTGCTGATGACAAGCTGCAGGCTGTGCCTGAACCATTCTACAAGCCAACATATTATCCCATCCTATGCAATTTCTGCTCCCCAGAGCCAGTGTGCAAAGGGAAGTGAAGCCCTGAGATCCCTGTGGGGCAGAACACAGTTCAAGGTGTAGTTAGTTCTTTGCTCTTTTATTTACAGCCATGGGAGAATTGCTTTGGCTGCAATGACTGAAAGTTCATGTCTTGCCCTTGCTGTGATCAGGTCTAAACTGAGCCTGTCACAGGTTTAAGTGCTGGTAACTTCTCTGTGTTCTATTTGTAGCAGTGCTAATATCAGTATTTGAGGAATTCATAGGTTTGGGTCACCCTTGGAGCCCCTGCAGTGGGAATAGAGAGTGTTCTCCCAAGGCATCTTGAAGCAGATCTGAAATGAATTAAGATTAAAGCTAATGAGCAGTTGACCATCTTCCACCATTAATTTTGGTTAGTAACTTTGCTTTCTATTTCTGTGTGTGAGGAAATAAACTCAGTCTGGATGTGCTCTGCCTAGGCTGTAGTTGTGCAGTAACTCTGCACTGGATTCTGCTGCGTGCCAGTCTGAGACACTAAGAGAAGGAAATGGGAGTGCTGTGAAACAGAAAGCTAGCAGCTGTTTAGGCCTTTTGGCATTGGGTTTATTTGTTGTTACCCAAGTG